TTATTTTAGGGCATGATTGAGTGACAAAGAAATGCGCATTTTTAGAGAATATCTTATATGTATATAAAATTTTCATGTCGCAATGTCAGTTACCATATTCCTGCGAAACGGCTTGAGAGATTTTTATTAAATTTTATATGCATATTCAGTAGGTTTGAGAATCGGCTACTATCTATTTTTCATATCCCTAAGTGATAAGACTTGTCCAACCCAAATTTTATTTTTATTTTTTACATGTTTTTTTTAAATTTTATTTTATTATATTAAGGCATTAAAAATACATGCAGCCCATATTTTTATGGCGATACGAAGTTCACTGGGTCAGCTAGTAATATTATATAAATAAATTTAAATAGACAACTTAACGTGAAATCAAAAATAAAAGTTATTAACGTTAAGTAATAGGTACCAGGGCTACCATTAACGTTTATGTCGATCGAACTAATTTCTAACTGGCACAGATTAAAAACGTATACCATAACATATTTTATAAGGTAATTTCGGCGAAGCTACACAAAAAGCAAAATTAATATAACAAAAAATATTTCAATACCTAAGCAATGTAACGCGTTGAAGTCTTTTGAACGTATGAATGTTTGAACTGTAATAAATTACTGTAGTCCAGGAATTTTAGCACCAAAAATCGGTCCGCTCTGCATAAAATCCTTCTACGTGATTTTTTGATTGGATTATATCAGAGGGTGCCCCCTAAGTATAAAACAGAGTTTCTGTCGCCCGAAACTGCGAGCGTTAGCCGCCATCTTGGAAACCGTTTTTTGCATATATCTCGGAAACGGTAAGTTTTACGTTAAAAACCGAAGAGATCTTTTTTGTAGAGAACAAAATTTCCCATCTTTTTAATACCAAACTTTTCCCCCTATTGTTGATATTTTCCGATATATTGAAGTAAAAAAACCAAATTTTTTGTTTTTGTAAAGTATCTCAATAATTTTTGGAGATACGAAAAAAATGTTTGAATTAAAGTTGGAGAGCATGAAATTTTCTACAAATTTTGTATAAAACTTTTTCTTGCAAAATGATTAGTTGCTGAGTTCCAGCTGAATAAATATTGTCACCAGGAATCGAAAATCGTTACTCTGGCATGCAAACAAAAAAGTATAATCGAAAAATTTTATCATGAAGACGGTAACGATTTTATTTATCGTGAAAAGGAGGGAAATGAAAGATTAAAAAGGAAATTTTGCACAATAAAAATATTTTAACGAATTATTGGAAAAAGGAATGAAAATTTATTCATGTATCCAAATTCATTATGTATCCAAATTCATTATCATTTGCGCGATATAAGTCGCTGTTTACAAATCAGGATCGCAGAATATTAATTTAATAAATTGTATTTTTCTTTCTTTCACCACTTGTACGTCTTTATCACTTATCAATTTCTCACATATAAAACACGTACTCATTTTAACGGCGTTCCGACTTAAATTACTTACCTTCTGTAAAACAATACTTTACGCGGAGACATCGAATTTACTTATACTTTTTGTTTGCATGCGAGAGTAACGTATTGCCACTTACCGCTGATTTTCATGATCTTTTATTGCGCTAGAACTCAGCAACTAATCATTTTGCAAGAAAAAGTTTTATACAAAATTTGTAGAAAATTTCATGCTCTCCGACTTTAATTCAAACATTTTTTTCGTATCTCCAAAAATTATTGAGTTACTTTACAAAACCTTTTTAAAAAAAAAAAAGGTTTTTTTACTTCAATATATCTGAAAATATCAACAATAGGGGGAAAAGTTTGGTATAAAAAAGATGGGAAATTTTGTTTTCTACAAAAAAGATCTCTTCGGTTTTTAACGTAAAACTTACCGTTTCCGAGATATATGCAAAAAAACGGTTTCCAAAATGGCGGCTAACGCTCGCAGTTTCGGGCGACAGAAACTCGGTTTTATACTTGGGGGCACCCTCCGACATAATCCAATCGAAAAATAACGTAGAAGGATTTTATGCAGAGCGGACATCTAAAAATCTTGGACTACTGTTCGCGTGGTAAAATTATGTTTATAAATTGCATATTTTTGTAAATTGTTGCTTTAACTAAATATTTGAAAATGAAATGAAATGAAATGAAATGAAATGCAAAATCATTTATTGGCCATCATAAACATAGTAAATGACAAAAATATAACTTAATCTATAGACGGTCAACCAGGACCCTGCCTCAGCATAAGCTAACATAGTGAGAAAATAAAAATAACTTCTCTCACCATGTCGGCGCTGTTATTCTGGCAGGACCTGTGCAAGGTGGCTTTAATGGATTTTAAAACATTTAAAAACGTAAACACTAAAAACAGAACAATAAGATAAAAACCCACATCACCATACAGTACATATATAATATATATTAATATAAAGAAAATTATAATTAGTCGTCGTAATTTATATATAAATTTGTTTAAATATATAATGTAAATAAACCCGTGTATATATAATGTACTCAAAGTTATGTTTCCTTAATTGTTGTTATTTCCTTAGTTGTAGCTAAGTGATAAGAGAACAATAATATCTCTACTAATATTATAAATGCCTGCGCCGGCCGTCGAGAGAGAGAAAGACAATGGCGAAATATTCAACAAATATTTCGCCGTGGTCCTTTCTAACATGATATTCTCTTTTTGATGGATCTTAAAAAGGATTCTTTTTTTCTCTTCTTTACCACGTACCTCACTATCGGTTATATATATGACGCCTTATGTCACATATGGTTCATTTTTTTCGAGGACTCTCACGCACTTTTGTCCTTTCCATTCCCTCGGTGTCCATTATAGTTCAGGGGACTTATTTGTCCGCGGTATTTTTAATCCGTCGCGTTTGCGTTGCTCGGTACAGTTGTAAAGCGATCTATAACGGTGGACAAAATTTCTCCGCGGACAAAACGTCAGCTCTCGTTTGCGCATGCTATTACTATCAATAGATTGCGTAATTACCATAGATATGATATAACTTCAATATTTACTTTTTTGAACGTCAAAATTATGTTGATTGCATTAGCCTAATTAAAAAAATATATAAAATGCGGAATCTCTTCTTAATTTATGACATCGAATCGAATAACAAATTCGAAAAGGTGTCCGTTGTAATCAGTAATTTTGTCTGAACTACAAGTACCTACCTAATATTCTAAAACAGATGAAACAAGTCTACGCAAACGAAGTCGCGGACAATAATATCATCAAGTTTAAATGAAATCATTATATAAATTCTAACGCACACGCGCCGCTCAAAATTGAGCTGAAACTCCGCTATTCGCAGACCTATTCTCTTGAAAACATTCCAAGCAAATGTGTTTTTTCATAATATTAATATATTTTTTTCTTTTTTACGTTGGTTGGCTTCATATCATTTAACAGGCCAGTTGCGGTTGCGCCACAATGCGATTATCTAACAATGTTTCTGCGCTGCCGCATACACCCTAATAGGCCGATATATCGCTTTCGCCGGGTCACATCACTCTAAAAAAGGATACACATATAAATTTACATGTTAATGTCTTCCATACATGTCTACAGTTTACGTATAAAATAGATATTTGATCCAAAATCACACCTATGTAGCTTAGTAATATGACAGATTTTCTTCATCACAACATTTCTTTCAATACATAAGATTTCATATAAACAATTGGTCTCAAATCAATATAAGAGCATTGCTAAAAGCGATGTTCTTTAGGATGACAAAGGAACGGAGAGTGTAATAAATAATAATCAGCTCCTGAAGTAAGTATCTAATATAAAGAAAATAAAGACGAAAGAATGGGTTAAGCACTGAAATGGTTACACAGCATCGTTTAAGCCGTAACACATGCAATACAGCTTTGTTTAAGATCGAACGAACACGCTGAAAAAGTAACGTTTTTCGTAAGAAAGCCCCTTCAATTGTTAATGTATACAAATGTAGGATATTGTTTTTATTATTCGTTGTCAATTTAATGGCAATACATTTACAGTTCCTGTGAACATTTGAAATGTCTATTTATTAAATAAAGTACATGAGGTACATGAAAGTGTGGACGGATGTCTGGGCGTATAGAACCTTAAAAATAGATTAAGAGTAGAACCTATTATAAATCAATAGGGGTGACGACGGGGTAAAGTAAACGAAATTCTACTTAGTCCGTCAGTTAGATGATTAAAAAATAATGGACACATATTTTTTCTTTGGTCAATCAACCAAAAAATGACAAAGATATAGCGCGTCAAAGTTTGGGAGTGGGGCATCGTGACGTCACTTTTATGTAAAATTGTACCAAAACGTGAAGTCATGCGACTTTTCAAATCAATATATCTATGTAATGTTTTAATTATGTGAAAAAAGAAAAAATACGTGTCTAATACTTTTTGATAATCTACCTGATACACGAAGAAAAAAAAGTTAGTCGTCATCCCTATTAGGGCAGAAATTATAACATCTATTGAATTATAAAACACACATCATCTTTGCTCGGTTTGAGACATTTTTATCATAAAATTATTCGTCTAAGTTTTGTCAACCTATGATGATGACCGTTGCAGCTGTATATACCACGTTAGCCTTTATGTTCATGTTTTGATGAAAAATGTAATAATAATATTATATTTCTAGCTTTCGGTCGTCACTCATCACTTTTGACAACACTTTACAAATATAGCATAAAAATTCTTTTCTTGGGCTGTCGTATAAAAAGATTTACTTTCATAAAAAAAAACACCAATGCACATAGGAGATCCGCAAAGACGACCTCGATCCTACCAATTGCCTAACTTCTACTCGGAACATATTGTGAATGAAAAACTCCAAGGGTTGATCAATGAGCTGCGCAATGACGTCATTGCTTGTACTACTGTACGGTTCAAGACAAATTTAGTATCGCTTATTCATGAAGAATACTAGTGAATTTTGTTCGAGATGAACACGAAAGGTGTTTATTGGTAGGAGGTCAGGCTTGCCGTCTTACAAAACCGCATGGCATGCATCTTTGGCTCGGGCAAAGTATAAAGCGGTGTTGTGGTAGTTTTGTCAGTCATTCGTGCTCAAACAGTGAGACGGTGTAGTGATATCTTAAGAAAATCATAGTGTTACATAAGGAATATTCATAACAGAAGTAAGTCAAACAAAAGTGATCGATTACAGTTAAATTAAATCTAAAACAGTGAACAGTATAAAAAATATATTTCTCATTTGAGAAATAAGACAATACAAATATTTTCTATCAAAAAGGGTGACAACAAACAGTTAATTATTTTAATTAACGAAATCATAAACAACTCACATAAAAAAAACAAAAGTTGTAATTTATGGAGTGACTGTGGCAGTGACTTTCTATTAGAACAAAAAGTTTTTAGACATAAAAGTTGTTTTTTTAACGTACCGTGGTTTGTTTTTGTAATACATACATGTTATTTCTATATAGTATTTATCTGAACCACAGTTTCTCCCGTACAAGTAGTTAGTCCCGTAATAGTTTAATCTTCTACTTGCTCAGAAGCTTTCACTTTTCACTCCGACGCTAACAAAATTATTACAGAAACTAACTTTATTTTATAATTAGTAACATCATTTGCACATAAATATTTAACCTAATATTCTCATCTACACATTTTATTTATATATGAATACATAATGACTGTTATAGAAGTAATTAATGCAGCTTTATACAACAGAATATATGTTTTAAGCACATTAGAGTCCTGCGATCTAAAATAGCGGCAATTGTATGAAATCCATTCCACAAAACTGACAAATAACATGATTTAGGAATTACAAATTTCTCTATTTTTATGTACCTTGTCAAGACTTGGAAAATGAGAAGAAACGGAGCAATCTCGCTATTTTAGATCCCCCTGTTGCATTGGTAATGTTCAAAGTGGTGATGACAATTATATTTAATCTGTTCCGATTTAACATAAAGTTATTAGAAGGAAAATTTATGTGATAAATCTATGACTTCATTTATAAAGTTTGCTCTCAAGCGATCAAGATCTACTTTCTTTGGTATTGTTTTCGAATAAAGTATTTAAGTAAATGGTATCTCGTTTCGATCCGTTGTTTACCACTTTGAGAGAATCACATATAAGCGGACGCATAATAAACGATTTTGTGCCGTAACTGGTTGCATAAATAAACAAGATAGAACATTTCCGAGGTTACATAACGCCGGTTACGCGCCAAAATGACGCATCGCTACGCGATCCGACTGCGAGTGATCACCCGTGCCGGTTTTCGGTGACACTGACACCAATAACACTTTCTTTCATAACAAAAACAAAGGATGACACCATTATTTAAAACATACACCTTCGTAATCCATCACCGACTCATGTGGTTTTAATGCCTAACTGTTTTCGAAGAGGAATTTAAATTCAAGCCGTTAAAGAGCGACATAATTATCATTGTCACAGTAATTTTTGAGAGCTTACTAGCTTACTTAGTTCGGATTCAGATTTCTGCATACTGTCAACTTATACAATACGTGAGAGTGCTTTCGCGGGCCCACGCCACGCCAGCTTGTGCCAGCGCAGCCGCCACAATGCGCTGACATTATGAAGTCTTACATAACCGTACTGTCCGCGAAAGTAAAAGTGATTCTTCGCCTCCTAAAGTTTCGAAATATCGACTCACTTTGGCAAGGATTAAATCACACTGGTATTTTTGTGTTTTCATTATTTCACTCACATAATTGCTTTTTTTTAACAGATCATGCGGTGGTGTACCATAAACTGTATTTTGTTGCCGTTACTAATAGCGAGTGCATCATCGGAATGGTCGTGGGGAAAGGATACGAAAGCTGACCAACCAACCGAAGAAAACAAAACGGGCCTACTACAAGGCGAAGAACTTCCTGTGGCTGAAGCAAAGAGCGACGAGTCCAACAGCACTGTACTCGATGATATTGTTGATGAACTAATCAGCAACAAACAGGGAAGAAGTTTAGGTGGCTTTGATGATGTGTATAGCGATCCCACGATCAAGGACGCCTTGGACGCAGGTGATGACGCTGAAGCAAGAAACTTAATAAAAGGTCGACTTTGTACTTTGGGTCTTATTCAAGTAAGTATAGTAACATATTAATATCAACATTTCACAATATGTTTTTTTTTCATTATCATACTTACATAGATTTTGATCAATTAAAAAAAACTCAAATATTCAAATATCTTTAATATATTCTCACGAAACAGTACAAATGATGTTTTTTTTTTACAGTGTGATGAAGAAGACAACCAGGAAAAACGCATGTATTACTCACCCGATGAATTAATCTACGCGCAACCAGTTGATATTAAGCCTGTTGGAAAACCGATAGCATCAATCCCAGTTCGTGGGCCACCGAAAGCTTATGGACCAGCCGTGCCTATGCCTCATCGCACACGTCCGCAGAAAATTCCCCCTAAACGAGTTGGATATGTAGGCAATCCACGTCCTGGTTTTTCTGACAAATACGGAGTTTCTGGCGGTAACTTCCATTTCTCTCAGAGCAGCAGTAATCTGTACAACGGCCATGATACAAACTACGTAACTAGACCTCCGACCTATGCCAATGAAAGCCCTTATACATTTGAAAACAATAAACAGGGCTACAACAAAGTACCACTTGTGCAATCTGGAACTAAAACAGAAGTTGTGCAACAACATGTCCACCACCACTTCGTACATAGTGATGCCGATAAAGACCCTAAAGTAATCATCAAACCGGTGGCTATTCCTGTCGGATCAATTGGGCACTTGCAAACACCAACGCAATCTTCTTCTTCGTCAGGACACTTTGGATCACAAACCTTCGGACAACAATCTACCGATGTCATAACAGCAGGTGGAGGTGATTTTAGTGGCTTTTCGTCAGGTGGTTTCAAGCCCATGACAGGAGAATACTTGAGTAATAAACCTGTTTATGAAACCGATACAATTTATGGTTCTCAATATGGAAATGGTGGTTTTAATAAAGAAGGTTCTGGTGTTCTTTCACAGTCACTGCCAAACCGATATCAAAACAATCTTTTTGAAGATCAGCAAAAGTATGGTAACGGTTTGGGCGCTTACGGTTCTCAGGGACAGAATACCGAATTCTATAAAAAGGAACTGCATGTTGGCTCTGGGAACAGTTTATACAGTCAAGGCCCTGCTACATTCGAGTCAAATGGCGCTTATCATGAAGCAAAAGAACAGGGTTTCGACTGTGTATGCGTAAATTATGACCAATGTCCAAGCCAGGAAATTATTGGCCGTAGAGACGACCTATACTTGCCTATTGATCCCCGTAATAAGGGTAGTGATATTGCTGCACTAACTGATGAGCAAATAGATAACATTACTAAATCTGATGCTAATGAATTGTCGACTGCACAGAATACGACGGAAATCAAAAAAGTTAGCAAACGCGAAACGAAAGATAGTAATGCAGAGGAATCCACAAAGGAAGCCGAACCGGTAAGTTCAAAACTAAACATAATAACTTATTTTGCATCACTAACTTTTGTGTCATAATGTTTTCACTAATTATATTGATAAAAATAAGTACTATAGAGGATTTGGGTACAAAACCATATAAATTTTGTGTTCAAAGTGTGGGTGATGTGATCAATAAAATGTGCGTATGTTTTAAAGACTGAGAGTAACAGCTTTCAAAAGAAACACTAAACATGGGGACTGACATTTGCCTAACAACAAAATTTACAACAGCATTAATTGATAAATGCAATATTACTGCAGCGCCTCATTGGACTGGCCGACTATGGCGGTAATGGCGGCAATGGGGGCAATAACAACAAACAAGTGCAGCCCACGTTTGGTGTCTCTTTTGGATTGCCCCAGCCTTCTAATGGATATCCCATCAATCCTTTCAATGCAAATCCTTTACATAATCCATATGGCCCAGCACTAAACAGCGGAGGTTTAAATTTGGGATTGCTCTCTGTTAATCCGCTTTTAGCAGTTCAAATTACAAAAAATGATTACGGAGAGAAAATTGTGAAGCCCTTCGTAAATTTACATGTAACACCAAACGAACACGTGGTTAATAAATTGTCCCATTTATTCCATGAGAAAAAGTTATATCTCTTAAATAAACATGAACATTACCATAACTACAACCCTTACAATGATCATCATTATCAAAGACCAGTACATATACCTCATGGTCATCCCCCACCACTGCCTTATCCACCACATCATATTCATGGCCCACCGGTTTATTCACCACAATACACCCATTATAATCCGGCTTACGGTAACTTTAACCCTTATAAAATAAATGGGCCGGTTCCCCACAACGAAGACTATTATGACGATGAAGAAAATTCTAATCAGTATGACGATGGCACAGACTATAATACCGCCTATCAGGGTGGATATTCTTATCCTGGTTTTGAAAGATCTGCCAATAACAGTAATATTAATGACAGACAAACCACATACGCTAACCGACACGGTTACTCCCGTTCCCTTACCCTTCCTCCTACAAATCCTGGGGCTAGGGGCAACCGAGGAGGTCAATCCATTCGGTTTCCTGAGAACAGAAAGAAGAGGGAAATCTCAATAAAAAACAGTACAGACACTATAGAAGAGGTAATCTGATAAAACTCGCAGATCTGTAAAAATATTGTTACACACAGCATCGGCTAATTTGCTTTTGTTTTCATTTTCAGCGTCAAGGTTATTTCGGCCACCCTCCTGTGCAACAGTGCAGACAGAATCAAGTGTGCTGTCGCAGACCCTTAAGACCTCAAGCTGGTAACCGTGGCCAATGTGGTATTAGGCACTCACAAGGAATTAATGGAAGAATCAAGACCCCTTCATATGTCGACGGAGAGAGCGAATTCGGAGAATATCCTTGGCAAGCGGCTATATTGAAGAAAGATCCTAAAGAATCAGTATACGTTTGCGGTGGAACCCTTATTGACTCACTTCACATAATGACAGCAGCGCATTGCATAAAATCGTAAGTCTTCCAGCACATCGGATGCATCAATTTAGTAGAATAGAAATGTAGAGTTTATCACAATTTTGAAGAAAACTCCTTTTTCTATAATCAGATTATCCTTGGCTACTTCTTACAGTGAACTTATTTTTTCAGATACAAAGGCATCGAATTGAGAGTGCGTCTTGGAGAGTGGGATGTGAACCGCGACGTTGAATTCTACCCGTACATAGAAAGGGACGTTATCTCCGTTGTAGTACACCCCATGTACTACGCCGGCACCTTAGACAATGATCTTGCTATATTGAAAATGGATCACCCTGTGGAATGGACCAAATATCCTCACATCAGTCCTGCATGCCTGCCTGACAAGTATACTGACTACTCTGGCCAAAGATGTTGGACTACTGGATGGGGCAAGGACGCTTTCGGAGACTATGGAAAGTACCAGAATGTGCTTAAGGAGGTTGATGTACCAATACATTCGCACAATGTGTGCCAGCAACAATTGAGAAAAACTAGATTGGGTTATAATTATGAACTGAATCAAGGTTTCCTCTGTGCTGGAGGTGAAGAAGGAAAGGATGCCTGCAAGGGTGATGGTGGTGGTCCTTTGGTATGCGAGCGTGGAGGAACTTGGCAACTGGTGGGAGTTGTCTCGTGGGGAATCGGATGTGGACAACCTGGTGTCCCCGGAGTATATGTGAAGGTTGCTCATTACTTAGACTGGATATCACAAGTTACTGGGAAATTCTCCCCGTATTAAAATTGCTCATCTTTACTTGAAAGGTTATCAGTAATGTCACAAATTGACTGAAGAAATGTGGTATTTATTTTAGAAATTAGATATATTTATTACTTTTAATTTATTATAACTTTGGATGGTAATATCCAGAGAATACGAGTAATTGCTTGTGCAGATTTTTCTACTGTATAAAAATAAACTTTTGGAGATATTATTTGTGTGTGTATATTTTCAGACCCTCCTTCATCTCTTTCATCTACTTCGACTTTTATTACTGTTCGTAATCGAATGCTGTTTACTAGTTATGACTGTTTTCGAGACTGTAAAAATAAAATTTCTGAGTTTTGAATACCTTGAAATTAAAGTAGCTGTAAGAAAACTAAACGGTCAGATGCTAGCTAGGTCAAAAGAGTCTATTATTTTAATAGCTATTTTATCTTTTTTCTAAATTATCGGGCCGTTTATTTATCCAAGTCTTCTTAACCTATTAGTCAATAAAGACACGATTTTGGGATTTTTCTCTCTTTTCTTTTAAAATACTTCCGATAACGCTATTTTTTTAAGTACAAGAAATTGTGAAGAATCGTATTCTATTACACACATCAAAAGTGTCTAGGGATCAACATATATTTTTGCAATAACTTTTCTCCTGATTGATATTAATTAAAATTTTCTTTAAGGATTCATCAAATAAAGTGTTTTCGTTTGTCACAGTAACGATAAACCAAGTCACCTTTGCATTAATAAAGAAATTTGCCATTTTCCTAATAAAGGGATTTTTGACATTTGAACCACTAACACAAAAGTTCGAAAAAAAGACTGAAATAACAGTTTTCTCTAAAATTTTATTGGGTAACTTAAACAATTAATAATCCGTATTTCTACCGCGAACACTAACAACACAAGAACATCGGTTTGGCATACTCAAAATGAGTTCATCCAAATCACGCTGTGGAATGGCCGCCCATGTTCGTTGCAACAACAAAAAAAGGTCTTCTTGCGACTGGATACCCTCCATATTCGGCAGAGCTCTTCTCTGTAGCATATCCCATGCATGCTCAATCGGGTTCAAGTCTGGCGACTGAGCAGGCCAGGGCAGGACATTGATGTTAGCTGCGGCGAGAGTCTGTCTTACAACTCTTGCGGTGTGCGGTCGTGCATTATCATGCATTAACTGAAATAAGGGACCGATTTGCACTTGTAGAGGAACGATGACGTCTGATACAATCGTCTCAGCATAAATTTGAGCGTTGAGGTTGCCTCTGATCCAAATCAACTCAGTTCTTCCGCCGATCCAAATACCCGCCCATACCATGATGGTTCCACCACTATAAGGATGGACTTCCTGGCAGGATTTTAATCGCTGTTGGCGTCCAGGGGTTCTCCAGTGTCGTATACGTCTTGTATCCGGTCTCATACCAAAACGAGACTCATCAGAAAAGCACACGAAACGCCATTGTTCTTCTGCCCAATTTCTGTGTTCAAGAGCCCATTGATATCGAATCCTACGATTGTGCATTGCTATAGGTGGTACCCGTAGCGGTCTTCGGGAATGAAGGTTCACTTCATGCAAGCGGTTTCTGACTGTTTGGTCGCTAATTAAGTTCCCTGAAGAGTGATGAAGCCTCACGGCTAACATCATGGCGGTTATTGTTGGAGCTCTTCGAGTTAAGATTTGAATGTATCGGTCTTGTCTCCGTGTGGTGCAGCGATACCGTCCTCCATGGCGCTCAGCCACGGTACCAGTGCTTCGGTATCGTGTCCAAAGTCGACTGATAACACTCTGACTTGTATTCAGAGCTAAAGCCACAGTACGTTGCCGGGAACCAGCTTCTATCATTCCCACGGCTCTGAGCATTTCTTCCCTGCCTAAATGACGTCGCCGCTCCATAATAACGTTGGTTTTAATCAGTAGTAGGGAAACAGTAGCACTAATAATGTCTTCAATGCGTTGTATGTTTTTATAGGGAAAATATTGACAGCTGATTTTCATCTTTTACTCGAATTTGATTCACAGTTCCTGATTCAAATTATGAAATGCACTAAAAAGGATCCATATAAATTTATAAAATCATAAATTTATTACAAAGCCACATCTCAATCTCAAGAAATCCGCATAAAAATGCTTGATCCCTAGACACTTTTGATGTGTGTATATTTTAAGGAGAGTTTGTCAAACAAAAGCTACTTTCGCCAACTTCGTTAATTTTTTGGAATATTATAGATACCAACTTTAGTGATATATTTTAATATATGCTTTGATTTTGTATACAACGTATGCAACCCGTGTCTATAGAAATGTTGATCGAAGCCTAAGCGTCAGATACTCTTTTTTTCTAGTTTTTAGTAGGTACGCAATATTTATGTGATTGATATCTCACAATAAAAACAACTGCAATAAAACTTATTTTGACGACAACATCGCCTGATGGAAAACGATGATGAGGCCTAGGATGGTACACGCCTGCCTAGAAGATGCCTGTTCACTCTAGCCTCATCCACCGGGATAACAGACCTCGGCAAGTAGTGCAGTCATTGAAGCATTATTGCTCCGATTTTTTTTACTGTGAACCGAATTGCATACAATTTTGGAATAAGGTTCATCTTACCCTTAACTTCAAAAGTGAAAATGATTTGAACTCCGCAACCACCCTGGGGGTGGTTGCCACCTCTTCTCGAGGGTAAATTTTTGTTTTTCAAAATAGCCTCGGATATCGATAGAAGGCCTAATTTTAAGCAAAAAATCATCTATAAAGTTTTTCAAAAAATCCAATACTTTTCAAGTTATTGGCAATTGAAAATTCGCAATTTTTTCGCGTTTTTCATCGGTTTTTTGTAAATATCTCCAAAAATATACGTTTTATCGAAAATTTGGTGATTAGTGATCGATACTGATGCCAAAAATGCAATCAGTAAAATTTTTGTCTGTCTGTCTGTCTGTATGTATGTATGTATGTTCCTTATAGAAACAAAAACTACTCGACGGATTTTAATGAAACTTGGTACAATTATTCGTCATACTCCTGGGCAGGTTATATACTTATACTTTTCATCACGCTTCAATCGAAAGGAGCAGAGTAGTGAAGGGAAATGTTGGGAAAACGGCAGAAGTTACTCCATTTTTTAAGCTTCCGTCGCGTGTGCAGCCTTAATTAATGGTTAAAGTTACATAGAAATCATGTATGACGGAAATATTCTACATAAAATTGTCTAAAAAATATCCCGCAACAGCATATGTCTATCTTTTATGATTGACTCACAATAACACGTGTAACTCTTGATAGCTTAGCAGTTCGGAGCATTCTGATTATATTTGTTTACTCTTACGTTTATAATACTCTCACTCATCCCTAATTTAAAAAAAAATATTACCTATTCAATAAAAAAGGAATCATAGAAAAAGAATTAAATAAATAAATTCATTGTGTACAACACACGCCTGAGAACAAAAACTATAGTCTACACTACAGCTCTACACCGCAGCGAAGCGAGGGCGGGCCACTAGTAATAAATAAATGTGTGTAATTAAGAATATGAACTATAAATTTTAATTTAAATGTCAAAGAGATTGAATACTGACAGAAGAACCTCCACCAAAACGACAATTAGTGTGTATGCCTAAACTTTGCAAATTTAGTAAGGCTAATTTAACTTGCTTTTTGAAAGTATGCAATGATATTATGTGTCTTATAGGAAGAGGTAAATCATTCCAACACTTAGTCGCTTGGTGGCGGAAACTGCTCGTAAATTCCACTGTCTTATGTTTTTGAGTCGCCAATATCGGACGTATTGACCTGCAAACACCTGGTCCATATCGAGAATGGAAGTTACGAAACTGTAACTTTTTGTAAAGGTATTCCGGTATTCCGGGTTCTTCAATTTTAACAAATCAAACATAAATACTGCCAAATGCAGATGCCTGCGTGACTCCATATTCAATAATGAGGCATTATTAAGAAATGGTGACACGTGGGTTCGAGGGGGGATATTAAAATAAAAGCGACCGCAAGCATTTTGAACTCGCTGTATAAGCCTTTGAGTACTAGAAAGCAAACGAGGGCCATATACTAGATCCCCATAATTCAGTACGGATAAAACCAACGACTCACATAAAACGGTCCGTGTTTGTTCTGTAAGGAAATTCCGAATTTTATATAAAGTTTTTAACCTATAAAAGCAACGCCTTACAAGACCCAAAACATGTTTCTCAAAACGCAGCTTATTGTCGAACACTATTCCCAAATTCCTGGCTTCGCTCACATGTTCAATGTCTGACCCCAACACTCAAAGCGTAGGATTACAACTAGCAAGTCTTTCAGTCTGTTGTTTAGTGCCGATGATCATAAACTTAGATTTTGAAGGATTCAAGACCAACGCATTATCAGTTGACCATGCAGCTATGGCATCCAGATCTTCATTCCCTTTACGCAAGGCATCGTTTATTTTTTCGGGGGTTGTTGATGTGTACAGCTGAACATCGTCATCATAACAGTGATACTTGCAATGTTCAATTGCCAAGGGGAGATCCGCACTGTAATTAATAAATAAAAGAGGCCCCAGTAACCTTGAGGAACTCCACGATCAATCAACCTAGGTTGAGATGTTAGTACCGATCCATTTTCCTTACACAATTTTAGTGACTGATACCGGTCACTGAGATAACTGTCAAAGAACCGCAATGCATGAGGATCAAAACCGTAAAATGCCAATTTAGATAAGAGTAACGGTATATTTATACTCTCAAACGCGCGAGAAAAATCAAAAAACGTCAATAAAGTAGCCCGACCCTAATCCATGTCGGCAAGTATGTTGTTGGTCACATCAAAGAGCGACGTCACAGTGCCACGGCCCCTTCGAAAACCTGACTGATAGGATGGTAATATATTATAAGTTTCAACAAAGCGCGTAAGCTGATTATAAACTGCCTTTTCTAGAATTTTTGAAAGAAATGGCAAAATACTTTGTACGCGACGACCGAAGCGAGAGAAAATGAACTTACGACGATACGAGACCAATGTATAAAAATGTATCTATAT